AACCCATCATCATCTTTTCTATCTGAACCCACATGCTGTGACCAGATGATTTATAGCTGTCAATACTGGTGTAGATGTCATTAGTCAGTGCTTGCATCATGTAAGATTTGCAAAGCACATCAGCATGGGCTCTTTCTTTATCTTCAGGTGAATATTGATCCTTCCGTTTAGGTAATCTCTGTGTAGGTACGCCTACTATATTGTCAGCAGGTACTTCTACAAAGAATTCAGCAGGACCGTCCAATAGATATTGCATGATCATATCTCCTTCTTTCATCCTTTCAATGAAATTCAGAAATCTGTCTCTTCATTGATTATAATCACCACGAAAAAGAACTGGTGGCTTGGTATCAGTACCAATAGCCATTGCTTCTTTTGAACTCATCTTTTCAGTTTTATGAAAAATAGGATCAACTGCAGTTCAAAGTTTGAATTAAAAGATCAATTTACAAAAATATATCTGATAAAGTGTAAACTTGAATAAGCACACATTCAACACTTAAACAATTAAGCACAAAAGCACTTGTCCGGTTTAGTAATCCGGTCAAGTTATCCGGTTTACAAGTCCGGTAAAAAAGATAGACAAAATTAACACGTTATCCGGATTAGAAATCCGGGCAACACATGGACATAAACCGCACAAATATAAATCGCACAAAGATAAAACGTTCAAAGTCTAAGAATTAAACCGATCAAAACTCAAACTCTTAATAATCCGATCAAAAAGTCAAACTCCGTTCAAAAGATCAAACACACTTAAACCGATCAAAGTCAAACTTATTAAACCGATCAAAAGAATTCAAACATAAACCAATCAAAGTCAAACAATTAAATCGATCAAGGTCAAACACCGTTCAAATGTATACCGTCCAAGATATATACGATTGTAGAAATAAACAGCTCAAAAGTCCAAGACTTACCAAACGGATTCTAAATCGCACAAACTTACCATACGGATTGGTTAAACCGGTCAATATCCGAACAAGTTATAATTTTCTTACCAGCCGGATACTTTTAAATCGCTCACTAAACCTTTCAAGTGTTACACGGTTTATCAACCGGATTCCTTAAATCGCACAATGCATCAACTAATCCGCACAAAGCATCAACGGTTTGCTAGCCGGATTAGCTAAACCGGTCAATGTATCCGCCCAAGTGATGTCCGATTTATCCTATATCAAAACAACTCGAAGCACAGGGAAGTTAAACCGCACAAGCTTTAAACGGACAAAGATTCAATCAAAAACATAAATTTTCACACTTTTTACCAAAAAATTGGATCAAAATACGAAAAAATATGAGTTTTGAAGAACTTTTTTCAGAAAACTGAAAATCGATTTTCGACTATTTCAGCCTTAAAACTTGTTTAAAATGCAAAATGATGTGAATCAAGATTGTTTGAAATGAAAAACCGAATCTAGCAATACAAATCTTTACAATTAACACCCAAAAATTGAACGATTTTTGCTCAAAAACACCAATCCGGACGAAAAAAGTTCAAGAACAGTGAAGAACAGATTGAAAAAAAATTCTAAAAATCGTGTAAAATGGATATATCTTCAAATCCAAACAGCTGCAGCTTGCTCTGATACTAATTGATGAGTCCAGATTTCATACAAACATGATATAATCTTCATAGATCATGATGAACATCAAGGTAGAAAGAATATGATAAAAAATGATTAGATTGAGAGGAGAGAGAATATTACATCAACAAATCTTGATATTCAGATTAATGACAATTGCTAATTACAATTACAAGGAAATCACTATTTATACTAGGAAATTGTAAAGGCTAAACTATTACAAAACAACTATACTAAGGAGAAACTTGAATACAACATTAAAGCACTAACTTGAACCCAACACTTGCGCTGCAAGAGTTCCATACACGTCATGAAGAGACCAGCCATCTAAGTCTTGGTTTGCTTGTAGAGACATGGATAACTGAGTCCATTCATCGCCTAGACTTTTTAGGAATAAAACATTGTTTTCTTCCTTGGTTCTGATGATATTGTTTCTACGACATTGATTTATCAATGTGTTGAAGCGATCATTAGTCTTTTGTATGGGTTCATCAAGGAGGGCTTTGAAGTTGGTGTAATCATTGAGACATTGTGCTCTACGATTTTTCTTCGTCTTTGCTCCTCCTTCCAGTTGACTTGCCAATTCGTCCCAAAGTTCTTTCGCAGTGGAGCATGTATCGAGGGATTGAAAGTTTCATTGGGTAGCACCATGATTATCAATCTTTTGGCCTTTCTGTCAGTTTCGACTCTTTCTTTATCATCTTCATCCCAATTTCTTTCATCTTTAGGCATGTTATATGCTGGAATTTCAGCTGTGGTACTTGTTCCTGGAACTCTTGGAACTAGAGTTTGAGGAATGTAGGGACCCTCCTGTATGGATCGCAGGAGATTCCTATCCATTCCCTCCAGAAAATTTACCATTCTAATCTTCCATTAAGGATATTCCTCTCGTTGAAGAGTTGGAGGCTTTGTGAGGGAACCAACATTGTAAGCGGAATTCCAGTTGGCCATTGGAGATTTTGAAGAAGAAGAGAGAATTTTTGATGAGAAAGAAGATTAAAATATTGAGAGATTTTAAAAGATCGTTTTGATTGGATAATCAATCAATAGGCTCTGATACCAATTGTTGATCCCAGATCTCTCAATAACACTAATAATCTAGTTATGAATAACCAAATTATAGTGATTTAATGAAGAAAGTTATGAAGTCTCAAGAATAAAATAAGAAAGTTTAAGAACAATTTTGAGCTTCAAAGGTTTTACTTTATAGATTCATGAACGTAAAACAAAGAGTAAAAGCCTTATTTTTACAATAGACCTAATCATCTATTTATACTAAACGACTATTAAGAAGATAACTATCTAATGCTACTTTCTAGCAAATCGTCTAGCTAACAGATAGAGTTTATCTTTTTCATGGATAAACATTAATAATAAGATAAACTTGAATTCCAAGCTGTTGATTTGTCATCTCCAGYTGTCATTCATGATATGATGACTTCATCCTTATCTTCAAATCTTCATTGCATGCTTGGATGGAGTGCTGGAAAATCTTCTAAGTTTTGCTTGTCTAGAGGATCGATGAGGATGCTCTTTCCATCGCATCCTTGGACCTGTCCATTGATCCTCTGGTTGAACTTGTCCATTGGTCCAATGGTTGAACTTGTCCATCGGTCCAATGGTTGAACTTGTCCATCGGTCCAATGGTTGAGCTATCCATTAATCCAATGGTTGAATTCCAGACTTAGTTGATTCTGCCTTGATGTCTTCATTGGTCTTCTAGTTCTTCATCACTTGTTGTTTTTCATTATTTTTTACATTTTGCATTGTGGGTTTTAACAATTCCTCTCATCTGCTAGACTTTGAGCAATAAAATTTTTGAGTGATAAAAGAATTTTTTTAATCAATTTTTTATGCTTAATTTTTTTTTATCTAATCTTAATCTTCATATGCTTAGAAGAAGGACAACTTCTAAGTATATTGAAATGTTTTACAAATGTTCAAACCATTTCTTTGATCTCAAATGTTTTTATGATTTTAAGAAGTGAGAATTTAAATATATTTTTGTTTGAAATGAGTACTATCTTTGAACAGGTATTTCATTGAGTTAATACTTGTGTATTTTCTCTTCATGCATAATTCAAATATCTGATTCAACTGTTCTCAAATTACATGTATCATATATTCATTGATATTTTTCGGGGGAAATAAACTCGTTTGAAATTCTCATTGTTTTCATCGTGCGTTATTTAATATCAATGTTTCAATTCTTATCTGAAATAATAATTGTGATTTGTTCTTCATAATTAAACATTCTAACTTTTGAATATTTGTTGATAAACACTGTGCGTACTGAGTCATTCTGTTGCGTTTGAATTTGTTTCTTGATAATTCTAAACATATATCTTCAATGTTTTAACTTCTAAAAAACTCTGTTCAGAACCTGTTCTACATATATGATTTCTGAGTACATCAATTCAAGACTCATTCTTCATTGTTTTGTCATGAGATTTAACAAATATATCTCTGAATGTGCAATAATTTTCTGAGTGCTAAGAATTTAGAAGTTTCAATGGTCAATCTAGAGCCGGAAGGACCAACTCATGAAACACATCCCTAGGTTAGATATATTTTGAAAAGGAATGTTTGAGGTAAAATATTGAGAGATTGAGTGTTTGTGAGCTAAAAAAATGATGAGTGTGTAACAAGACTTAAAAGAAATACATATAGTCCTTTCTAAACCAAAATAGTTAACCGAGTAGCTATACAATCTATCCATTCTCATTCTTTAGAAATAAATATTAAAACAGACATGGACCCAGTGTCGACTACTTGTGTCACCCACCTAGCTACTCATGTATCTCAAAAGAGGTGCTTGTTTCATATATCATGGAGAATTATCATATAATCTATCTATTATTTATTCGGAAGATTTAGATATTGAAACAAGAAGACACATCTCCGGTCTTCGAACTTTATTCTGTGCACATTGAGTCTATTGAGCCAAGTATATCTGTATGATAATTTTCTTTGACACTTTCATGAGTCTTTATGATTCAAATTGCATATCTTTGTGATATTGTCATAACAGTTTGAGAAGTTAGTTATGAAACTTTGCTTCAATGATAACTGGAAGTCCTATCAGAGATTCATTATTGTTAATAACATAGGCCACACAATTAATTTTAGTTGATGTGATAATAGTTGCTAAATGTGCATCTATGTTAGAATTTTACCCAAGATTCAATAGGGAGTGCGATAATGTGATGAAAAAGATCTATTTTTTCAAGAGGAGTATATTTGTAGAAGTTTGTAAAGGATAAAATTTCAGTCTTTTATTGTTTATGATGTGCATGGTTCTCCTAATCATCATGAGAGGGAGAAACATTATCAAAGACATGATGCAAAGATATGAAGATATGAATGAAAAGTGCTAATTCAAGAGGAGTAACTTGATTAAGGAAGAGAGATGATATCAGGTGAAGATAGTTTCTGAAGATTATTGCTGATTGTTGAAGATGTTTTTTTGAATTGTTATGTTTAAGGGGGAGTGAATGTGAAAATTATTTCTAATATGATTTCAGGGAGAGATTGTTGAAAAGATGATTTGTTTGTTTGTTTTAAAGAGAAATTGTTTGAAAGTCTACAAAGTTTGGGGAGAGATAGTTAAGAACGTTTGTTTATTGAAGAAGATTATTAAAGATTAAAAGATTGTTAAAGTCTGAGAAAGATCATGAAGAATTGAAGTTTTGAAGAAAGAGAATTTGTTACTCAAATAAGGAGCTTCTATAATGTTTCTACAAGGAGAAGAATGTACAAAGTTTTAAAAGATAAATTTTAAAGATAAAGATGCTGATAAATTCTAAAGATTGTTACGGCTAAAGAGTCTGAAGAATTTGCTGATTTTTTTAAAAGTTGTTTTTAAAGCTTGAATCCAAAGGGGGAGAATGTTAGGTTCAATATTTTGTACTTAAATGTTGTATCCAAACTTTATGCTTCTTTTGTATTCCTTGTGTATAAATAGGATGCTTTGTTGTAGTTTGTGAGTAGAGTAAGAGTGTAGAAGGGTTGTAGAAAGTAATTTTTGTGTAAACCTTTGAAGATCAATCTAAGCCTTTGACGATAATTTCTCTTTCTACATTTCTACATTTCTACATTTCTGCCATTGAAGATCTTGTGATTGTTCTTGTTAATTCATGATTTGATTGATTAAAACCTGGGAACATAAGAAATTCTTGAAAATATTTCAACAAACAATGGACATTGGGTTGATCCACATGCCCAACCATAAAAGAAGACAGTTGGAATTCATGATGTAGATGCATACACTGCATTAACAACACAACTCACTTCCATGACCACCATGCTTAAAAACCTAACTTCCGGCCAAGGAGTGTTGCCAACTGTTACTACACCTGCTCCAACAGCCTCTTAATGCAGTGTGTTTGTTATGGAGGGGAACACTCATATGAAAATTGTCCTCATAAATTTGAATCTGTAAACTATGTTCATAATAGATCTAATCCTTATTCCAATACATACAATGCTACTTGGAGGCAGCATTCAAAATTTTCTTTGAACAGTCCATGTTTGAATCCACTCGCTCATAAACAACAAGAAACCTTGAATTTTCAACCGCACCAGCATGCAAGCAGTTCTAATTCTCAAAACCATCACCAAAGTTTTCAAACTGCTCAACCATCTTTTCAAAACAAGCCATCTCCACAAGCTAAATCACCATCTTCTTTGGAAGTTATGATAAAAGGCTTGGTGGCCTAGTCTCAAGAGCAACAGCAATTGCTGACCCAAAATCAATCTCTTTTTTATTAGTAAAGTGTTGCTATCAGAAATTTGGAAACTCACGTTAGTTAACTTGCACTTAGTCTGACCAATATAGTCCTTGGTACTTTGCCTAGTAACACAGAAGTCCCAAAAGCCTTGGGAAAGGAACATGTGAAAGTAGTGACCCTTAGGAGTGGGAAGGAATTAACAAAGACCATACAAAAAGAAAGTGAACATGTTGTGTCTAAATCTGAGACTACACCAGTGGTCCCTGTTATTGAAAATCCACGAAGATCATTAGAGCACCAGTCATCTGAGGTCCCTACTTTTGTTTCCCCCAAGTCAGACTATCCTTTGCTATTCCTAGAAGAGGCTGCTAGGAAGTACTCAATTGAAAGTAAGGTTATAGTAGATCCTAAGACCAAAGTTGTGACCCCATCTGAACCTCAAGAAAGTAATACCAAGACTCATGGCATTTAGGACCTATCTTGCTCGACACAATCAAATAAAGTTGTAATAAGCAGTCCCTCCTTATATGCCCTTTCCCCAAAGGTTAAGGAATCAAAAGGAAGAACTACAATTTAAGAAATTTTTAGAGGTGTTTAAAGCATTGCATATCAACGTAACCCTTGTTGAAGCAATTGAGTAAATGCTCAGTTATGCCAAGTTCCTCAAAGACATCTTAAGTAAGAAATAGAAGTTGACCGAGTATGAAACCGTAGCTCTTACTACAGAATGTAGTGCACTTCTGACCAGCAAGATACCTCCTAAGCTTAAAGACCCGAGAAGTTTCACTATTCTCTATTCTATATATGGAAAAGAGATTGGAAAGGCTTCGTGTGAGTTAGGTGCTAGCATCAACCTGATGCCCTTATCTGTTTTCAACACTTTAGCCATAGAAGAGGCTACACCCATAACTGTCACATTGCAATTAACCAACAGATCCATTGATTATCCTAAAGGGAAGATTGAGGATGTCTTAGTTCAAGTTGATAAGTTCATATTTATGGTAGATTTCATCATTCTAGATTTTGAGGCTGATAATGATATTCTTATCATTTTAAGGAGACCATTCTTAGCCATCGGTGGAACTTTGATAGATGTCCAAAAAGGAGAATTAACTGTGAGGCTTCAGGACCAAAAAGTCACATATAATATCTTTAACTCCTTAAAGTACCCTAATTACTTGGAGGAGTGCTTAGGCATTACTAAGATAGAAGCAATATGTCATGATGGAGGAATTAGAAAGGTTTGTAAGTTGGAGGAAGAGGATAATGATGAAATATATGAAGAGATTGTTGAGGAGTTAGACTTGAGAGAGGATGAAAGTATCCGATTTGATGTTACATCATTTGAATTTTTTGGAAAATGATGTTACAATTTTCACTTTTTAAAATCCTTTATTGATAAAGAAGATCAATACATAATTTACAGACTGTTTAGGGAAAAAGATAAGATACAAAACTTATCTAAAACAATCTAGAGAACACACAAGATACAAAAAGCAAGAAAGAAAAGACTTGCTAAATGAAGAAACAATCACTTTGATAAAGGAAGAGCCTAGTTGGTGTTCTTCACTTGAAGTAAAGATAACTTCAAAATATTAACTCACCATGATAAGCTGAGCCTAGACATCCTCAGCCTTATTGGAGAAAGCAGTCATAGCGTCGGAGTTTTTTTGAATTCCCATCTTTATGAAGTTCAGCTCGCTTTTGACTTCACGAACCTCATCTTGGACAACATAGAGGCCGTGAGCCAAGTCATCATTCAAGGGAATTCCCTGTTGAACTTCATTCATCTTGTCAACGATGGTCACAACAGCAGAGTGAAACAGCTTCACATCCCCAGCCATATCATAGGCGTCAGTCTCAGTGACAGGGGGTTCAGTCTCCATAGGACCTGCAAAGAAAGGAGAACATTGAGCATGAAAAAGCTTAGGGTTAGTAGCAAAGAATGAAAGGGAGGGGGTTTGATGTATACTTAAGGGTTCCTCAACAGTATACAAATGATTACCACTGAGGCCGAGCATCTCGAATGTGCTGTAGTTAGGATCAACTACACGTTGCTGAGGGTGGTCGAGAGGTGCATCCTCAGGTCCTATGGTGATAGCTTCACCAATAGTGGGGACAACCACTATTGGTTCATAAGCCCGTGTGATAGAGACAAAAAAAGAAGGGGAGGAGAGAATGATTGAGAAGATATGTGAAGGATTAGCAATGGCAATGTTGGGAATCACCTATTAAGTGATTTGAGTCAGTGAAGTGGTTGGGGTAGGTGCCACACATACTACAACAACAAAAGATATTGCTGAAGAGGAAGAGAGGGGAAAAGCATATCCCTCGGGGGTAAGGTGAAATTCAATAGATGAGACCTGTTGAGAGGTCTCAGATAGCTAAGAAGGGTTCACCTTTATTGATTTCTTATCCCTCTTTGAGAGAGTAAGAGTCGCTTCAGAGGGTGTTCTTTTCCGAGAGGCTAAAGAGGTAGTAGTTAGGATAGACTAAGGGGGGTTTGGCACAATCATGTTTACTGAAGAAAAAAAAGGAGGAAGAAGAGGAGAAGTTGAGGAAGGAAGAAAAGGACATTGGCTGTCCTCAACGTTGGAGGGAATAGACCAATGTCTAAAGGCTTGGACTTGTGATCAATAATCCTTGATCCAAGCCTGCAGAGGGGAAGGTCTCTCTAAGCGGGGTATTTTGTTGCAAGGATTCTAGCTGGAATCCCGCTTAGGAACCTGGTGTAGGGAACTACCTTTTCCCGTTGGCGCATGTTCAACTTCAGTACCAAGTCGTCAAAGATGAGCTTCTCCTAGTTGACGTTGATATCTCTGATGACTGAACATCCAAAGTTCAGCGCCACCCTACTTGCCTGATCTTGGCCTCCTGTTATCCCACCCATGCCACTGAATAAAGTGAGAGAACAAGTATTGCCAGACCGTTGACATCCGGTTCTTCTCAATCTTGGTCAGCGACTTATTGAGCTCTGAATCGGAGTCTTTCTTCAATGGCTAGTCATAGTGAATATCGTTCAGAATTTTGACGATATGTTCAATGTCTGGATCGCAGGAGTAGGGAACTGTCTTTGGGAGCTGTATAGAAGTGTGAACCATTCAGTAACCAAAACTCACCGTCATGTTGTTGATCTCACAAAAGATATTGACAATAGAGTTTCCATCCTTCTCCTTCAACATTTTCACGTCGGCAGTGTACCAGAACTGTCTCAAGATATCCTTCACCATGACAGGTTGGAAGGTGAGAGCATATCCTAGAACACAGTTCTTGAGGAAGGAAGCAGCATCCGTAAAGTGAGGTTTGTCTGCGGGTATCTCCAAAAGTGCAACATGGTTGTTTGGTTTGAATGAGAATTCTTCAATACCAAAGTGTAGTACACAAGATTATGTTAGAAATCACATTTGAGGTAAAAGTTTGAAAGATAAACTTTTCATTCAAAAAACCAAAAGAAAATAGGGTTTTCGAGATGATTTAGAAACACAGTTAATATAAATAAAGAAGGAGAAGGATTTATATAACCTATGTTTGTATTTAAAAAGAAGAAAGAAAGTTTTCAAATAACAAGCATGTTTCTTTAAAGATAAACAACCAAAAAGTAGATAAACAAACCTGTTTTTAGAGAAAAGAAGGAACTGGTTTGGAGGAAGGTTTTTGGTGTTCTTGCTTGCACACAGTTAGAGAGAGAAATAATGTGTATGAAATAGTTCGCGTAAGGGAAAAATGAGAGGGTAAGGGAGATATTTATAGGTGAGAGGAGAGAGAAAGAGAAGAGAGAAAAACGATGCTTTGAAAAGATGTGCAATGGTGATTTCTTTTGCACGTCATTTTAAGGTGATTGGCTCGGAAAGAGCAGTGGACAAAGTGTGTCAAAAGGACACGCGTGAAATTAGTCCATTCATTGTAAAAATTTAATGACATCATAAGATATGACTGTTCATTAGCCTTTTTCTTTTAAAACAATTTGATCACTGAATAAAAAAGGTGTTCAATGATAGTTTTAAGTTTTGAGAAAGAAGAGATAAGTAGACATACCTTGGAGAGAAAGATACATTTAACTTAAGAGTTAAGTAAGAAACACTTAATCATTTCACCTTGTATCAATGAGGGATGCTTAGAGCTGAAAGAATTAATCCTCAGCCGTCAACATTACAAGTTCGCTGACTAAAAAATTGAATCTTGTTTCATCAAAAGGTTTAGTGAACAGGTCGGCTAGTTGGTAGTCAGTGGGTACGGAATGAAGTTCAATATCACCATTCATAACATGATCTCTAATAAAATTATTAATGATATCTATATGTTTGGTCTTAGAGTGAAGTACATGATTGTTTGCAATGAGAATGGCATTGGTGCTATCACAATAGATAGGGATCTTAGAGAGTTGAAGATCATAATCACTGAGTTGATTTTTCATCCAAAGAATTTGGGAACAATAGCTTCCAGCGGCTACATATTCAGCTTTAGCAGTTGATGTAGACATTGAATTTTTCTTTTTGCTTATCTAGCTCACTAACTTTCCACCAATAAGCTGACAGCCTGCTGTGGTGCTCTTCCTATCTATCTATCAACCTACAAAATCACTATCTGCATAACCTATTATATCAAAACCTGAGTCTTTGGGATACCATAGCCCCAAACTGGGAGTACCCTTCACATATTTGAAGATGTGTTTTACGACAATCAATTGAGATTCTTTGGGTTCATATTGATATCTTGCACAGAGACAAGTAGAATACATGATATTAGGTTGGCTAGCTACAAGTTACAGCAAGGATACGATCATTCCTCTATAAGTGTAATGTTTACAGGTTTCCTATTTGAGTCCTTGTTCAACGTAAGGGGAGGAGCCATGGGAGTTTTCATAGATGACTTTTGGTTAGGTCGAATTTCTTTAACATATCCTTGACATACTTACTCTGAATTATAACGATTCCTTTATCAGATTGCTTAATCTGAAGACCTAGAAAATATGTCAGTTCTCCCGTTATGCTTATCTAATATTCTTTATTCATGCGTTTAGAGAAACAAAACACAAAGAGGGATTAGTGGAACCAAAAATAATATCATCAAGATAAATTTGGAAGAATGATGTGACCCTTGACTTATTTAAGAAATAAGATGTGATCAATCTTTCCACACAAAAATTTCTCTGAGATGAGAAATGAAGAAAGTGTGCCATACCAGACACGAGGGGCATATTTTAACCCATAAAGAGCTTTATCCAATTGATAGACATGATTTGGATATTTACGGTCAAGAAACCTTGGAGGTTGTTCAACATAAACTTCTTCTCGAAGTTTTCCATTAAGAAAAGTGCTATTTACATCTATTCGATAGACTTTAAAGTCCTTATGGGCAGCGTAGGCTAGGAAGAGTCGAATTGCTTCAAGTCTAGCCACTGGTGCGAAGGTTTCATCATAGTCGATGCCTTCTTCTTGTCTATATCGCTGAGCAACTAGTCGAGCCTTATTGCAAGTTATTATTCCTTGTTCATCCAACTTGTTGTGATAGACCCATTTGGTACCTATCACGGTTTTGCTAGAAGGATGTAGGACAAGGTACCAGACTTTATTTCTATCAAACTCAATAAGTTATTCTTGCATAGCATTGACTCACCTTGGATCAGTCATGGCCTCATTGATTTTCTTGGGTTCAACTAAAAAAAGAAAGTTGACAAAGAGATAAATATTACCTAGACCTCAATGAGTCTGAATACCTGCGCTTGGATCACCAAGAATTTGATCGATGGGATGAATTTACATCCATCATTGTGTTGGTAAATGACATAAATTGTCATCTTTTGATTTTGGAGGCTCATGTATAGAGGATGAGGCTTCAACAAGAGATTCTTTAACATTAACTTGAATAGCTAAAGGAGCCTTGGTAAGATATTTATCTACTGACAGAGGTTCAGTAACTAAAGGAGATTCAGTAGCTGAAGGATCAGTACTTAAAGTAAAAAGGGGTATATGACTAATGGGAACAACAACAATCTCTGAAAAGGATTCAACTTCATTGTTAGTCGTGTCAGGAATGATAAGTGGATCATCATCAGCTTCAAGGAGATTAGCGTTGGGTTGATTGCTGAAGGAAGCTTCTTGTTCTCCATAATGATATCATTCAGTTATCTAACTCTTCTGTTAGGACCTTTAGATTCAGCTTATGATATTAATCAAATACTCTGGATGATCTTTTAGACAATAACAGTGCAGTGGAAACAATGAATGAACAAACAGAGTAAGAAATCAATCAAGAACACACAGATGAAGAATAAAGAACACGAGAGAATAGCTTCAAATGATTTTCAATTCTATTGAAAATATTGACAATTACAATTCGGAAGCGCTCTGAATTACAAAGGCCT